TTCAAGGTGAGTACACTGTTGCGCCCTAGCTTTTGTCAATTTTGCAACAATAATCAAATAATCTAACAAATTATGGAGTGGCCTGCTCTATCCATTTGATTGAAATTGAATCGATACATAAATTTGTGATTTATTATTGTTGTTTTGGGTTTAGGGGCGCACCTGTGAAGGGGCGTCCAGCAGCTCTTATCGGCGATGGAGGGATTGGCGCCATACTGGAGGAGGAGCTCCACCAGCTCCTTGCTGCCGCCACTGGCAGCGATGTGAAGGGGCGTGCAGCCGAAATTATCGAAAGAATTGATGTGCGCCCTTGTTGCCTCCTTCGAGAGCAGGTCGGCCACAACGCTGCGTCTGTTGGCCCTCACCGCCTCATGAAGGAAGTTGGCGGAAGGGGGAGCCGCCTGGGCCGCCTCCTTGTCCCTCGTCTTCCTCAACATCATCTATCCTTTGGCATTCGCAAGACCACACCAACAGGCCCGGGTCTTGTTTTCGCACCCCTCGCCCCACCCGGTTTCGCCCAGCTTGCCCTAGCAACCCAGGGTTCTCCAACCATGGGGCGACTTTCTCGCCCCACACACGTCGCGTTGCGCCACTCACCTCAAGGCAAAAGGCAAATGATTTTTCGCAAGACCCGCACACGACGCAACAACAGCGTGGGGGGGGGCAGTGATCATAGACTCTTGTCTCGGCGTCAAAGTTGATGGGTGCCTCTCTGGCGATGTTGCCACGTCGGCGCAACACACTGATGAAGCCGCCCAAGCCCACAGAATTGAGTGGAAGGAATGCAGTTCGCGTGTATTGAACTAGGCGAAGGAGAGCACCAGAGCCGACGTCGATTAAGGCGGCTTCCGCCAGTAGCGCCATTGGCCACTGAATCGGATTTTTGTAGACTGATGGCGCAACACTGCGTCACAACGGGAAATGGAGAAGAAACTAGTTTTGTTCATCCTCGCTGAAGATCTAGATTGGTGTGTTGCGCGGTGTAAAGCAGGCTGTGATGCCATTTCTTAAGTCGCGATGGTAGGGGGGTCCTGTGGCCATGTACAAGTGAGATTCGGTATGTAGATTTGTCAATGTTTGATTGAAATTGAAGTACCTTGGCATGGGCTTTTTGATGGTGTGTGGTTGGTGGTGATGTCGCATATGGGCGAGGACGAGGTCGCGGTCACACAGGGAAGCGCAGATGGTGTACATGGAGCTGGCACCTTGGTGGAGGACGTGCACACGGCCAATGGTCCCTACACAGAGGTATGTGAGACCATGTGCGAGACAGTGGTGAAGTTTTCNGTACCAGTGGTG